GAAGAAGAAGATAAGGCAAGTGGGAAAAGGGTAATGCGGTTAAAGTGTGAGAATAGATAGATCAAAATTTATTATTTTATATTTTTATCGGATCAAAATTGACTATTATCATCGATACACTTACACTATATCTAATATTGTCTTTTTTGATTTATTTACAAGATCATCATGGAGAGCAGATAAAAAATTGGGATTCGAAGAGACTGTCTAAACATCGAAGTTGTTTGCCGAATGATTCGTTGCTACTTTTTTTTTTTTTTTTGAGTGATAGATTGGAACTTTTGTTTGCTTGATTATTCTTCTAAATTTTGTTTAGATTTTTTTTTTATTTCCAATCTTTTTTTTTTTCACGATGTTGTACTCACTGCAATCAAGATTATGTTTGGATGCTAAAATTATTCGACAAAATAATCCATTATCATCGTCGTCAAAATTGTCAAATTGAAAGGAAAAATACCGAAAAGAAGAAAAAACATAAAAAAAGAAAGAAAATATACAAAGATTCAATTGATTATAATTGTAAATTAAATTGATATTTTTATTTTTATTATTTTTCCTTTTTTTCTATGTTAACAGTACAAATTTTGTTGTAGTAATATTGTAATTAAATTTTTATATTATTGGGAGATTAATTTACAATAATTATTATGTATATGAATAATTATAATTTTTTTCATATTACAATAGATTATTCATTTATTTTTTTTTGCAAAATTATAAATTGATAGTTTAAATATTTCTTTCATTATAAAATTTTATTTTCTATCAAATTTAATTCATATTATATATTTTATCAAAAAATAGTATTTAAACTATTTAAATACATATTTTATTTTTTTAATTATATAGTATATTAAATTTTCTTTTAGAAACACTAATATCATCGCAAGAAAAAAAATGCAGTTTTCATGTTATAATAAATATATTTTTTTAGTAATTATCAATGATATAATATTTATATTTTATGTTTATTTGCAATCATGGTATTATATATAATTATATTTTAGTAAGTATAATTTTGTTTTTACACAACTTGATTTATATTACATATTTTATTCCAAATATATAAAGCAAATCATAATTTTTGTGATTAGATACTCATTTGAATTTTTAAAATTTTTAAAATTATTTTAAATAATATTATTTTTTTTAAAAAAATTATTTCATTGTTATTTATTTTATTATTACTATTTTATTATAAAATATTATGATTCTTAAACTTATTAAAATATTTGAAAATAAATATAAAATTAATAAAAAATATTCTATAATAATATATTTTGAAATAAATGATATTTAGTAATTTTTTTCATTAATGACACCGTGCGTAGGGTCTTCCCGCTAGTATTATTTTAAATAAAAATACTCAAAATTTAAATATAATCTACCAAATTAGGGGATAAATATTTTAATATAATATTCAGAATCAAATTAATTAAAAAATACATATTAAAAAAAAAGAATGAATAAGTAAATTGAATAGTAGAAATTAAAAATAACACAATATGTTGGGTTGAGAATAAGTGCTACACCTATAAATTCTCGTACACTTATTCAAATGTTCCAACTTCCGAAGCGTAATTATATCACAGTTATAACGATGACTTGTCAATGAAATAAATACAAGGATTTCAAAGTAATAAATGACAAGTTATTTGTTCACCCGGTTCGGATATAAACCATCCTACAGGGATACCAATCCAGGAAAGATTCATTAACCAATGCTGATTAAGAACAAAACACCCAAACCTTCTTCAACCCAAACTACAAGCTAATTACCTAGGAAATTCCCTCAACAGACATACATTGTCACAAACGCGTACTGACAACTAACACATAGCTGGGCTGCTTAGATTTTGAATGTTCCCCTAATCGGAACTCCGATCTCCCTTCAACCAACGAACTTCTCCGGCAAGACAATAATGTATATCACTCACTTAGTGCATGGAGATGGGAAGGGAAGAGGTTAAGAGGATTGATACAATATTTCTCTCACTACACACTCTCTGAAAACCACTCTATCTCTCATTCCCACTAATCTCAAGCTGTGTTAAGCAACCACAACAGCCATGATTTTGACATGCAATAAATTCCCTTTGATACAAACAAGGTATGGTGTTGTATCTAATCAGTTCTGACCACAAAAGAACAAATTCAAGGTGTCCATTTTGTCTTGAGCAACCACCATTCAAGGAAGGACAAAAGGGCTGCTTGATTGGACTGCACCAGCTGAGTCCAGTGTTGTGTTTTTTGGAAATCAACGACCACAACAATAGAAAGAGGTTTTGTCAATATGCCAAAAATAGATGTTGGAGTTTTTATCAACTTAACAATCTCCCCCTTTTTGGCATATGTGACCACACACACAATGCAGGAGATGATCTCCCACATTTAGGAAATTAATCCCATAATAAAAAACAAGTTAAAGTTACGTTACAGGCCAGCAATCAAAAATAAGGCTACAGACAGCCTATACAAATCAGAAATTTAAGACAACCAAAGTTCCAACAATCACAGAGTAAAAAACAACAGATGTTTCCCATTTTCAATCAGCAGTAGCAGACACACAATAATGGCAACAGGCATGCAGAATCAACTCCCCCTTTCTCCGGTGATGCAGCATTCCCCCATCTCTCCTGTATCTCTCCCCCTTGCGTGGAGCATATGCCAAAAAAGGCTGGGAAGCTATAGAAAGTCTGGGATGTCGTCCTCTTCAGGACCGGATGCAAACTTGGGGTGAAGGTGGAGAGCACGAATGATCTTTTTCCTATGTTCTCATAAGGTTGAACGAATTGAGACTTGTTACTACAGCACTTCCAGAAGCAACCGACGTGCTTCCAGAAGCTGTCTTGAAGGATCAATTGGAATGGGCTCTTTGAAGTCATTAAAAAGTTTCTGTAAGTTCGAGCGGGGCTTGAAGAAACTGGTTTAAATGGTGTCTTCCGAGGGCTACGGCAGAATGCTATTCTCTTTCAACAACAGGGTGATAAGGGCAGGGTACGGGAGGTTGGTCTTGTCAAACGACTTCCCACGAGCATACTTCACCATTTTGGACAGAATAACAAAACCAAAATTGATGTCAGCGCAGAATTTATCAATGCAAATGAGTAATTTACCCATGTCGTAGCCAATGTTCGTCCCGTTACTTGTGGGGAGAACATTCATCCCACAGAAGTGAAAGAGGCATTGATACTTCATTGTCAGTTCTGTGGCAGCCAAGCCCGTTCAACCGAAGTCATCGGACTTCCATGCAGACAACCGCAATGCAATCTCGCCTTTTGATTCTCTAAGCAGGGCGGAAGGAAATTCTTCTGGATTGTCATTCGGGAGCTTCAACAAATTATTGATCACCTGGGGGCTAAGCTCAATCACCTTTCCACGAACAAAGGCTTTGTGGAACCAAGGGCTTTCTTCATCCAAAACATCCTGAGAAAGATTGGCATAGAATTCTCTGACCAACTTTGGACAATATCATTTGAGCGACACTGCTCAATGGCGCAGACCTTTCATCCTTAGGAATGCAAGAAAACCAACATCTTTGTGAATCGGATCAATGAAACGAGCCTCCGGGACAAGCTTGCGATTTTCCAGAATATCATATTCAAACAATTCTGCAGCGTCGTCAAAGTGGGTTGCATCCATTACCTTTGGATTTCTTTGACTTGTGTCTCTTCTTTGAAGTCACTTGCTTGCTTCTTTTTCTTGAGGGACCAGAAGAACCAGCAGAAGCCTTCATTTTCTTACTCTGTCTTTTGGCATGTCGGTTTTTCAGTTGGGCAAGATGAGCATTGTCTGAATCATCAGTCCTTGGTCTCGCTTCATGTGATAACGGCATGACAACAACGTTTTCATGTTCCATTCTCTCAGAGAAGAGTTTATCAACGGTTCTGTCAATGATCGTATTGAGACTTTCATCGGAAGGAGAATGAGGAGGGTCAACAGTGGCACCTTCAAGTTCAATGGCTGGTTCCTCAAGATGAATGGGAGGAACAACTGCTTCAGTCCTCTGTTCTTCAGATTCAGGGGCTTCTTTAGAATGCACCAAGGACTCTTCATCAACATTACGGGTTTCAGGTTCAGCAACCTCTTGCTCATTTCCCACATCTTCTTCCTCATTGTGATTAGTCTCAGGTTCTCCAGAAATGTCATCCTCAGGGCCGCCAACTTGCGTTTCTTCGAGGGTTTTTTGAACAGTCTTCTCAGCTTCATCGATATGATCTCTAGGAGAGTAAGGAGTCACAATATCAGTAACTGCAACCTGTACTTCCACACTTCCTTCAGGCGTTGTTGGAATCTCAAGGAGTGGTTCCTCAACAACCATGGGAGAGGGAGGTTCAGTGGGAAAAGGAGAAAAACTGACTCTCCCACCACGACGCCCACGTCCTTGGTTCCGTCCTTGTCCACGACCACGACCACAAACGATTTCTCTGCCTGTCCTTGTTTCCCCACCAAACCGTGTTCAAGCCATTGATTTCTCAGAGAGCAACTCGCAAGAGAGAAGAGTAGAGAGAATATTGAGAGAGAGTGTGTGATTATTATCACCACTACTCCTATCGATATATGAATTCTCAAGAGATGAGGGAGACGAAGGAACTGTTTGAATTATGAATTCTACTCCCCTCTAAATCGTCAATTCCCATAAGGCTGTGATGACAGCCAAAACTGCGACGCAGATCCGTCAAATCAACTTTTTGGGGTTTTAAAAAACCATTCTCAGAATACCAATAATATCCCTTGTTCAAATTATCTTCATTTACCAAAAGGTCCTCATTTTTTTTGATATTTTCAAAATTCCATTTTTCTTATAATATACAATCTCCAATTTCCACCCAAATAATCAAGAAATAAAATAAATTGGAGATATTTATTTATTCATCCATGCATGCAGCATCAAGGAGGGCTTGAGCACATACCTAAATCCCTTCGTAGCTTCTCGAATTAATCTGCATCCAGTGCTTTCGTGAGAATATCAGCCTTTTGATCATTAGTTCCAATATGCTTCAAATCACACACTCTATTTTCCACCAAGTCTCGAATAAAATGGTATCGTATGTCGATGTGCTTTGTTCTTCCATGTTGAACGGGTTCTTGGAGATATTGATGGCGCTTGTATTGTCACAAAACAGAGTGAGCGAATCTTGACCAATCCCATAATCATGCAGCATTTGTCGAATCCACAGCAATTGAGCACAACAACTTCCAGCAGCTATGTATTCAGCCTCGGCAGTGGACAAAGAAATAGAATTTTGCTTCTTCGAACACCAATTCACAATATTATCTCCAATATAAAAACATCCACTTGTTGTGCTCTTCCTATCATCACAACAGTCAGCCCAATCTGAATATGTGAACCCAATAAGATCAAGACCTGACCTGTTCAAATACCATAATCCAAGTTCTGCAGTTCCTTTGACATATCTGAGAATTCTCTTTGCAGCCTTCAGATGTGATTCCTTAGGTGTGGATTGGAATCTTGCACATACACCAACACTGAAAGAGATGTTTGGACGACTAGCAGTCAAGTAAAGGAGACTCCCAATTATGCTCCTATACAGTTTCTGATCAACTGTCTTTCCATCATCATCTTCGACAATTTATCTTGTTGTCCTAAAGGAGTTCTAACTCTTTTTGAATCTCGAAGTCCAAACTTCTCAACCATGTTCTGAGCATACTTTTTCTGACTCAGAAAAACACCATTAGCAAGTTGTTTAACATGCAATCCCAGAAAGTAATTAAGCTGACCTATCATGCTCATTTCGAATTCAGCTTCCATGAATTTTACAAATTCATTCTTCAGGGATTCTGCAGTCGAATAGAACACAATATCATCAACATACACCTGTGCAATCATCAAATATTTTCCTTTCAACTTGATGAGCATCATCTTATCAGTTGATCCTCAAACATATTCATTCTCCAGTAGATAATTGGACAACCTTTCGTACCACGCTCTGGGTGCTTGCTTTAATCCATACAAAGCTTTCCGCAACCTGTAAACATGATCTGGATGGAAAGGATCCTCAAATTCCTTTGGTTGTTCTATATAGATCTCTTCTTTAATCCATCCATTTAAAAATGTTGTCTTGACGTCCATCTGGTAAAGAGTAAATCCCAAGGAACACGCAACAGACACCAGCAATCTCACTGCTTCAATACGAGCAACAAGAGCGAATGTTTCATCGTAGTCAGCACCTTCAATATGTGTGTACCCCTGTGCAACTAACCTTGCCTTATTTCTTCTGGTAACGTTTCCTTTTCCATCTCACTTGTTCTTGAAGATCCACTTAGTTCCAATGACATTCACATTAGTTGGTCTTTCAACCAGATACCATACTCGGTTTCTTGTGAACTGGTTTAGCTCATCTTACATTGCATTGATCCAGTATTCATCCTTGAGAGCATCGTCTACTATCTTTGGCTCAACTGTGGAAATAAAGCAATTCATACTAGACAGATTCTTGAAATCAATCTGTTTACCTCAAGTCAGTCGACCACCCATTGGATCACCAATAACTGCATCAATTGGATGGTTGTGTGAAACTCTGGAACCATATCTTCTCACTTCTGCATCAGATTTAGTTTCAGAAGGTTGTTGATTGGTTGTTGTTACATCCGTTGAACATTCTGGTTCTGACTAATCAAATCTGATAGAACTTTATGTAGCAATATTGTCACCTGTCTGGGGCAAATCATTCTGAATTTGGGGAATGTTCTGAACATCTGGAGAGTTCTAAGTCACCTTAACAGGTGCAGTTTCATCATTATCATCATTTGAATGTATAGATTTCTTCTTAGAAATGGTATCATCGAATATCACATTCATGGATTCCATCACCTTCTTGGTACGATTGTTGAATACTCGATAAGCTCTCGAGTTCAGAGAGTATCCCAAGAATATACCTTCATCTGAGCGAGTATCAAACTTATGAAGTTGATCCCTGTCCTTCATTATATAACACTTACACCCGAAGGTGTGAAAGTAAGAAACATTTGGTTTTTTTCCTGTCCATATTTCATAGGCTGTCTTCTCTATATGAGGTCTGAGATAAACTCGATTAATCACATAGCAAGCCGTGTTAATAGCTTCAGCCCACAAATATTTGGAAACTCCTTTGGCATGCATAATCGATCTAGCCATTTCCGATAGAGTTTGATTCTTCCTCTCCACTACTTCGTTCTGTTGTGGAGTCTTTGGGGCAAAAAATTCATGCTTGATTCCCAATCCATTGCAAAAACCAGCAAATCTTTGATTTTCAAATTCCTTTCCATGATCTGTTCTCAATCTATCAATCTTCGACTTCTTCTCATTCATGAGTCTTGTACCTAGTTTTTCAAAAGCATCAAAAGCATCACTTTTCTCACGTAAGAAATTGACCTATGTATATCTGGAAAAGTCATCCACACAGACCAAGATGTACTTCTTTCCTCCAAGACTGCAGATATCAACTGGACCCATGAGATCCATATGCAGCAGCTCTAGACAATTGCTGCTGAAACGTTGTTCCAATGAGGAATGCACAGCTCTCTTCTGTTTTGGTTTTGCACAGTCACCACAATTAGTACTTGGAATCTTCGAAAATTTGGGTAATCCTCTGATAGCTCCAATTTTTCTAATCCTCAACAGATTTTGTGGATTGACATGACTCAATCTGGTGTGCCACAGCATAGATTCATCATCTTTCAATATCAATGCTTCCATTTGAGGATATTCCAGCAAGTAACAATTGTTCTTTGATCGAACTCCAATCATCACACATTTCTGTGCAGTATCATAAACTTCACATGAATCCATAGTGAACTTCACATGCAGATTGTCATCACACAATTGACTTATACTGATCAGATTCATACTCAGTCCTTCTACGAAATAGACTTTTGACAATCTTGGAATCCCTTCTTTTTCAAGAACACCATAGCCATTGATCTTTCCTTTTGCTCAATCTCCAAAGATGACTTCTCCACTTCGGTCTTCAATAAAATTCTTCAGAATTCCCTTTTGGTTAGTTATGTGCCTTGAGCAACCACTATCAAAGTACCATCGATCAGCTCAGGTAGACTCTTGACTTGACAAGATTACATTGCACTCCAGCTGTTTATGAGTTTCCTTAGGCATCCACACCAATTTGACTTTTATGTTATGTTTCAAACCTTTAGTAGGCCATTTGAATGTGTCTTCCATTGACAACATCTTTTGCCAGCTTTAAGCACTTCACAGCCGAATAACCAGGATACATGCAGTACTTGCAGTCAGTAGGTTGTGATAACTTTGAATTATCATCCTGAATTCTTCTGCGGTTCTGTTTCTGTTTCTGCTTCTGCTCTTCCTTGAATTTTGTTTCTAGACTTTTTTTGATTTCTTCTTTGGGAGTTTGACATCTGTAACTAGACCACCGCGCACAAATGTAGTTGGTTTACTTTGAGATGATTCACAGAAACCTAATCCTTTGTGATCACCAAATGGTTTACCAATTGAAAGGACTTCATCTAATTTTTCTTTTCCTTTCCGAAGCCTATCATTTTCATCCTTCAACTTCAGATTCTCAGAATTCAACCTCTCTGATTCAGAAGATTTATCATAAGTAATCTTCATCAACTTCTCAAGTTCATCTTCAAGTTTCTCATTTTGATCCTCTAAACGATAAATGGTATCAAGAAGTTCTTTATTTTTCACATCTTTCTTTTGTTCGAATACCATCTCTTCATAAGCTTCAGTCAGCTCATCAACATCGAGTTTCCTTGACTCATCAGTAGTTTTAGAACTGGATTCTTCATTTTCATCACTGGATTCATCAGCATTTGCCATAAATGCAACAACTTCATGATTTTCAGTATGTTCATCACCACCAGCAGATTCACCATCTTCATTGTCACTTCAGGTAGCTTGATATGCTCTTTTCTCCCTTTTCTTTACCGTTGGGCACTCAGATTTAATATGTCCAACACCACCACATCCATTAACAGGTAGGTTCTTGAACTATCTCTGGTTTTGCAGACACCACAAACTCTTCTTAAATTCACCATCAATTCGTTTTTTTGTCTTGTTGTATGTAGTTGGTTTATGCTCAGAGTACTTTCATTGAGAACTGGATGTACCTCATCCTGATAGCTATTTCTGTTATGAAACTTCCCAAACTTCAGCTTGGCAGCTCGTTTCTCACTAATCATACGAGAAAGTTTACGGCTCAGCAGTGCCATTTCTTCATCAGACTCTATCATCTCCAAGTCTTCAGCATTCAGAGTCACACTTTTGGGTGCTTCATCTTCGAGATAGTTCATTTCATAGCTCACCAATGTACCATACAGTTCATCCAATGTCATATTCTCAGCTTTGGTGGTTCATCGAGCATAATCACCTTGGGCCTGGAATTTTTTGTGAGACTTTTAAGCATCTTTCTCGCCAGTCTCTTCTCTTCAAAGTGCATTCCAAGAGCTTCAACTTCATTCACAACATCCATGAATCGGTTATGATAAAAAAAATTGTTTTAATCTTCATTCATCTTCAGTCCTTTGAATAGAGTTTCAACATGATCCAGTTTCGATTCTCGAACTTGCACCAATAAATTCTCGTACACTTATTCAAATGGGCCAACTCCCGAAGCGTAGTTATATCACAGTTATAACGGCGACTTGTCAATGAAATAAATACAAGGATTTCAAAGCAATAAATGACAAGTTATTTGTTTACCCGGTTCGGATATAAACCATCCTACATCCGGGGGATACCAATCCAGGAGAGATTCATTAACCAGTGCTGATTAAGAACAAAACACCCAAACCTCCTTCAACCCAAACTACAAGCTAATTATCTAGGAAATTCCCTCACAGGCATACATTGTCACAAAGGCGTACTGACAACTAACACATAGCTGGACTGCTCAGATTTTAAATGTTCTCCTGATCGGAACTCCGATCTCCCTTCGACCAACGAACTTCTCCGGCAAGACAATAATGTATATCATTCACTTAGTGCATGGAGATGGGAAGGGAAGAGGTTGAGAGGATTGATATAATATTTCTCTCACTATACACTCTCTGAAAACCACTCTATCTCTCCTTCCCACTAATCTCAAGCTGTGTTAAGCAACCACAACAGCCATGATTGGACATGAAATAAATTCCCTTTGATACAAACAAGGTATGGTGTTGTATCTAATAAGTTCTGACCACAAAAGGACAAATTCAAGGTGTCCATTTTGTATTGAATAGCCACCATTCAAGGAAGGACAAAAAGGGCTGCTTGATTGGACTGCACCAGCTGAGTCCAGTGTTGTTGTTTTTGAAAACCAACGACCACAGCAGTAGGAAAAGGTTTTGTCAATATGCCAAAAATAGATGTTGGGGTTTTTATCAACTTAACACAATATATAATTTAAAAATACATACATAATAAGAATGAAAGTAATAAAATAAAAATAAATTATATATTAAAACGTACCATAATTTTCTCTATGGTTTCTTCAAATAATCTTTCAAATCTAAAGATTACAAATTTAAACATAATCCAAAATATTGAAAAGTATAATATAATACTAATATAATAATCAAAATCAAATCAATTAGAAAAAAAAAGTACTCAATAACAATGAAAAATATTCGATTAGTAAAAAATAAGAATAACAGAGTAGATAATTTTAAAAAAATACATATACTCGAAAATAAATAAATTAGTAAAATACATATATAATAAGAATGAAAAAGAATCTATTAGTAAAACATTAAATTTTAATTTAATATTATTATTATACATAATAAAATAAAGGCTTTGTTTTTTCAATACTTTTTTTTTCACATATTTTTCAAAAAAAATTAATACACTACGCACAATTCATTATTCTTATATTCCCAACGCAATTCCCTATAACTCACATAAAAAATTTTTCTTTCCAACAATCTCACAAAACATGCACACTAAAAATAAACAAACAAACAAATACTATACATGATCGCTCTTTGATACTAAAGTTTAAAATATATAAGTCAAATAAAAAAAATTTACTATAATAAATTTCACTATATAAGGAATGAAAATGATATGAAATTATATGCATAAATAATAGTATATGAAAGAGATAATGATATTTTTACATATGAAAAATCTTTCATTCTCTTTAAACGATAACAAATTATATGCATAAATAAAATATAAAAAAATAAGAAAATTTTCACCTAGAAACCTTTCAAGCTTTAAAAAAAATAAAAATAATGCGTTGTCCCTACTAAAGTAGAAAATTCATATAATCAAATTAAATATAAGATTTTTTCAAAAATTCATATAAACACGCTCAATCACAATTCAATCAATCAATGAAAACTACAAATTTAAGATAAATCAAGATAAAAAAAAAAAAATCTAAAAATTTGTCACGTTATGTAAATTTTGGATTGAACTACAAACCTCGAATAATTGTACACTAAAAATATACAAGGTTGTGTGACAACATGGCCATGTATATGGTCGTGTAGTTTCCAGACCAGCTGCTATGTCAACCCCGTTACGTCCACGTCAGCCATTTCCGTTAGTTTTTTAACGGTGATACCAAATTGATTGAAATTGTTTATAATATGACTAAAATTGATGATTTTTTGATATTGCGATCAAAATTAATAAATTTTGATTATATTGGGACCAAAGTGGATTTTTTCCCTTATTTTTATTATAATTAAAAATAAATATTTTTGAGTTGAATGAACCTAAAAGAATAAATATATAAATTAAGTTCAGATGGATGAAGTATAAAAAAATATACGGGTGTGTTTACTTGTGAGATTTTGATTTTGGGTTTTGATTTTGAATAGTAAAATTTTGAATTGAAATAGTGGTTTGATGTGATATAAATATGTATTGATGGGATGTTTTAAATGTAAAATTATATTTTAGTGTAATAAAATAAATAAAAATAGGATGTTTGATTTCATATTTTTTTTTTAAAAAAAAATTAAAATAGTAAAATAAAAGATAAAATTTTACAAGTACACAAAACCGCAGTTACTTGTTATTAAAATTTAGTGAATGTTCCCTTTAAATCATTTTCTTCTTTTAAAAATCAAAAAACAAAAAATATTAAAATTATTCTATAACTTATTAAATTATTTTTCAAAATGTTTCTACTCTAGTTTAATCAACATTTTTCTTTTCTTTTTCAATTATGACATGACACTTCTTTTTTTTTTTTTTTTTTTTTAAATCACATGATTGACTATTCGACCTTTTTTGGACAAGAAGAATCAGTTTCGGTTTAGGATTATCTTAAACAAGGACATGTATGTGAATGCCAAGTTATTTGGGCAAGAAGAATTAGTTTCATTTAGGACAATCTTAAACAAGGACATGCATGTGAATGCATGTCATGGGTAATATTAGATAGAAATGGTAAACTATTTTGTAGCATTGAATTTTTTTATCATTTTAGTATTTTAAATAAATTTTATCTAAAAATAGTTTGTAAGTATTTTTTTTTTTGTTAAAATAGTTCTTCGGTACTGGACTCGTCACGCCGGTCTGCCATTGCTGATGTAGTGTTGATGCGGCTGACATGCCATCGCCAAATAAATTTTATTTGAAAATAGTTTTGCAAGTAATTTTTTTTTTTTTTTTGTTAAAATAGTTCTTTGGTACTGGACTCGTCACGCTGGCCCACTATTGCTGACTGGTGCTGATGCGGTTCACATGCCATCGCCACAGAGATGCTACGTCAGCAACATGTGGAAAATTTTTATTTATTTTATTTTACAAAATATCTTGGTAAAATATTTTTTTAGCCTCATATCTGACATTCTTTATCATTTTAGAATTTTAAATAGACTCTGTCTGAAAATAGTCCCACAGGTAAAAAATTTCGTAAAATGGTCTTCTAACATGTCACTGACGTGGTGATGACATGTTATCCGTGTTAGTGTCACATCAGCAACGGCGGGCCAGTGTGTCGAGTCCGACACCAAAGAACCATTTTAGCAAAAAAAAAATTATAAGAGAAAATATAATTATACACTTTCATCACACTTTAAAATTCATAATTTATGATTTTTTTATTTTAATTAAACTATTTAATCATCTTAATATTAATTTATAATTATTTTTATTAAATCATAATTATTTTTTACTAATACACTTCTTAATTACATACTAAGTATACAATACCTAAAACTCCGTTCCTAAGCTAAATAGGATAATTTAGCTGGGACGGAGAGAGTATCAATTTTCTTCAAAAATAATGAAAGGTTAAAAAACAAACATTAAAACACATATAAATCCATATAACTCTATCGTAAATATAAAAAAGTGATTGCTTAGAAAGACATCGTATTTTTGACAAGTGGACACAAATTGAGCTAGAAATCGTATGAAACCATGAACGCCAACGCCCAAGAATTTTTACATTCCATTCCAGTAGGGGGAAAATTGAAAAAAAACATCCTCTATGTATACCTTATTATCACTTTTGTCTGTATTTATCTCGCTGATATCCCACATATTTGCAAAAACTATCCTTTGATCGCGCATGACCGCGCGTGGTGTGAAAGTCACGCACGGCTAAAGGACATAAATAGCGACTTTTGCAAACATGTAGGGTATATTTTGTCAACAAGATAAATATAGGACAAAAGTGACAATGAGGTATACATGGAGGATATTTTTTGTAATATTCTCTTTCAATAGATAATTAAAGAACTAACTTTTGCAGCATAGAAAGCCAAATAAATGATTTTGTGTCATCTTCAATAGCATTTCGCTCCTTTAACCTCCTCTTGATTTTATCAGCCACGCCAATATACGTCACACCATACATTGATGTCATCACCGTTTGCTTTACTAACCTGTAAACAGTCAATAGTAGATTCAATGAGCATGACTAAAATTGAACGGATAAAATATCCAAATGATATAAGAATGTAAATTCAAACTGAAAAGATATTCAAATGTGAAAGTTCTAGGAGTATATATAGTTTAAGCAAGAAGTCACACGTGTAGTATCGCAAAAATATCATGCACCAGGCTAGTCATTAAATAGTGTGCAAGCTCATACAAGCACATCGAACATAACATATGGTTGATAGGGAAAAAAAACATAAACATACACGGTCGATTAACATCCTAGCATGCTTAGCATTCAATTTGGTTTCAGGGTCTTTAGCAACATCTCTCTTTATTATCTCAAGAACCCTGTATCCAAAACAATAAAACCAAAAAATAGGTGTTATGAGAAAATGAGAAAGAAAGCAAGTAAAGAACACAGAGGTTTTACGTGGTTCGGTGACGGTGTGTCAACCTACATCCACGGGCAGGAACCAGAAAGATTTTATTATATTGATTCAGAGAT